TATAGTCTATAGATATAAACCATTGTGCAGTAATGAAGAGAGGAAAGTTAAGAAATCATTGTGCCCAGAAAGGTCCTTGACCCTTCTGTAATAGTGCCACCTTACTACTATTTTTTTAATGATGTATTCTATTTTGATTTATTTAGGGAAGTGGACATTATTTGGGACAAACTGTTGAGAGAAGTATGCTTTTGTAGTCACCAAAGATACATTTATTCATTTGCACAAGGCCTCGTTAAGCAGTCCCTACTAGGATTGTTACAATTTGATTTTCAGTAAATTATTACATAATTTAGTATTTAACAAATTCAATTTTTTGTGATCTTTATGTAGATGAATCGTAGTTGGATGTATAATATGACTAATTTTGGTCGAATGGGGCTAAGACCTGAATTTGTAGAAGGTGTCACTGGTTTTGTGGAGTATGCAAAGACACTAGAACTTTTTCAACGTAATGGTGTGCTTAAGTGTCCTTGTAATAAATGTCAATGTTTTAATTATGAAAAACAAGATATTGTTAAGGGCAAAGGATCCAAGATTTAAGCAAATGAGTGAGATCGGTAAGAAGGCTAGACCGTCTACTAAGGGTGGTTCTCTACACACAAATGGGGCTCAAAGTCAAGAAAGTATGAGGAGGAAATTGGTATGTATCATTTTTCTGTAAGTTTTTATATATTTTAGGTATTAATATTTAATTACTCTTGATTATAACTTAATTAGTTCAATATGTAGGAAAAGGAACTAGGAAGATTGGTAACTCAGGCTGAGGCATTCAAGGCAACACACATAAGAAAGAAGAAAAATCTCGAAGATCCAAACGTGTGGGTTGAGCCGCGAGCTGAATTGACCTATGTAAGCCTCTTTAAACTAATAGTTACTTATTTTCTAAATTTATATTCTAATAATAATACCATTCAATTTTGAATCGATATCTTCAAGTTTTGGAGGATTTACGACAAACTTAACCAGAAGAAATCGAGGTATGCCACTTACCCAAGAACAGGTTGAGAGAGTTTGGCTAGACTTGATTGGTGGGCCGAGTAGATATGGGTATGCCTATGGCATGCCACAACAGACCTTTCGTGAATATCATTCTGAGTTTGAAGGCCTAAGTAGTTCCTATGATGATGAATCGATGAAGAAAAATTTGGCTATGGAGCAAAAGATAGCTGAGCTATCTAGCCAAGTCAAAGACTCGTGGGCTAGGGAAAGGCGCAGGGACATAGAGTATGAGGGTCTTAAGGCTCAATTAGATGCATTAATTGCTTCAGGAGGGATTCCCCCTTGTTCCAATGACGTCACTTTCCCTCCTCGACCCTCTCAGTCTCAACCTACTCGATATCCAGTGTATGGTCAACAAAGAATTATGACAGATGAGTCTAGTAGTGATGAAGAAGATGAGGATCATGTGGCAAACACACTACCGCATTAGTGAAGTTTAGAGTTGTAATAGATAATCTAAGTTCTTTACTTTATGACTTTTTTATGGGACTTATTTGTTTTGTGAATGCATGATAACATTGAAATCCTATTATATAACTTATGGATTTTATGATTTTTCGTTCAATTTCGAATTACGTTGAAGGTGAGTTGCATATTGAGTTGATAAGAGAATATTTAGTAAATGTGTTGTATTAGTTGATTGTTGGAAGCTCTTTGAGCTTGATTTAGCTAATTAGAAAGGTATTGAATTAATATGACAGGTGATGAGTAGCTGCAAAATCAGTTACAAGCTATCAGTTTTTTTCTAGAAAAAGAGACCTCATGAGGTCTCTTCTTTGCATTTTATTTTCCAAAAATTTCATAAAAGAGATCTCATGAGGTCTCTTTTCTGCATTTTATTTTTTAGAAATGCAGTAGAGAGACCTCGTGAGGTCTCTTTTCGGCAGTTTATTTTTTAGAAATGCAGTAAAGAGACTTCACGAGGTCTCTTTTTGGTAATTTCATTTTTTAGGCTATGAGATAAAGCGGCCTCGTGAGGTCTCTTTTTTTAAATATAAAATAAAAATAAATAATATAATAGTGACCTCATGAGGCCACCTTTATTAAAAATAAAACAAATGTAAATTATGAAATTGCGACCTAATGAGGTCTCTTTTTTTAAAAAAATTGGAAAATTTATTGGTGACGTCGTGAGGTCTCTGTTTGGCAACCTCATGAGGTCTCTATAAAAAAGTCACCTACATTATAGCGACCTACCGTTGAGGTCTCTTTTTAGGTCTCTTTTTTCAGAAAAGAGACCTCATGAGGTCTCTTTTTTAAGTCTCTTTTTACAGTTTTTTTAGTAGTGATAAGGCAACAACTTAGAGTTGATCTAATACATAAATGATAATAGTTAGATAGGAAAAAGGAACATTAATTCACATGTGGTTTTTTTACCATTAGCTTTATTTATTTTGAATCATAATATAACAACTTTCAGACAGTTTATGAAGAAATAGAAAAGTAAACTTCAAATATAATTTCGTATTGTTCAAGTTGGTAAAGGTGTGTCCAAAGATGTCGAAGCTCAGAAGTTGGCATTTCAACACTGGATTGAGGTGGTGCATCATTAAGACTTTCTCCCATGGCTTTCCATTTTCCTGCTCTATTCGAAAATATCTCATTCAATTTATTGAGTTTTTGTCAAACTAAAGGAGAAATGTGTTTGTATTTCAATTAACTTTGTCAACGAAACAACAAAAGCAATAAGATGCATAACACTTAGATTATGTATAGACCTTGCATAAAAGGAAATAAGTCACAAATGATGAATAAAATGTTTAAACATCTGTAGAAAAAATAACTAGAGAGAAAGGAAAGGAACAATATATTATTTGATTTATCAGTGTACTCCTAAAAAACAAGAATATTACCCGATGATCATGAGTAAGCTAATTAAAGAAATTTTTCGCACGAGCACTTTACCTAGTATATATATAAAGGAGAATGTTAGACTTACTGATGTGGCATGCCTCTAAAGGCTAGAAACTTATATTTTGTGGGTTTTTTTTTCGTTTTTTTTCATGGTCTTTTAGATTATTGTTTTTAATCATTTGAAGGTAATATTAGAAAATATCACAACATTATTATTATTCAATTAAATGGACAATGAGTATGTAGTAATGTTCAGTTACATTATCTTTCACCTCCCACATACCCATTAATACACATTTACCAACTGAGATGTCGGGATCATTAGTACCAAATTTGCATTTTTCATGTCTTGTATTCCAATCACCACTTAGTCATTTTTTATGGATATGCTATTGTGTGCAGATTTTTTGAGAATTTTTAGTACCTGCTAACTTAGTTACAATTTTTATATTATTGATTGTACTTCGATTATTATATTATATTAGTATACGTATCCGTGCGTTGCCTAGACAGTGTAAAATATATTAAGTTCTTATATTAAAAATATTTAATAAGATGTATTATGTACTAATTAGAAATATGTTATAATAACAATAATTTAAATCATTAACTTATTTATTTGAGGATATTAAATTAATATAATGAATACACAATTTAATCTTAAAATATTATTATTTAGCTGTAACCAGCCACAATATTAGTTTTTTATATTATGTTGAAAGTTTTGTATAATTTGTTTTTCATTTTTTTAATATACATATGAGAATAGAGTTGTAATCAGTGTTTTAAAAAATGCAATTGGGGCGAGACGCAACAAAAACGTATCAGGGCGCAGTGTAGAGGCGTAGTTCTCGCGGGCGTACATTTATTTCGACGAGGCGTACGTTTCGGCGCAATACACATATTTGTGCAAAAACTTACGCTTAATGGATCTTACTAAAATTGGGGATATTTTAGAGAATTCTCACTGTGTTTCGCTTCCTTATATTCTACAAAAAATTTACTTTTTCATTGACGGTTCATATTTCTAGATAGAAATTTCAATTAAAAAAATACCATCTTGTGTTTTTGTGCAAGATGAATATCATTTGTGCAAGATGAGTGCAATTTGTGCAAGATGAGTGCCAGTTAGCTTTTAATGATGATACTTGTGAGTTCATGACCATATATTTTTAGCTGCACTAAACTATCTTCTGTTGTTTAATAGCAAATGAAGTTTTTTTCTCATGTTTTCAAGTATTTTAAAGACATTGTTGAGTTGGTTTAAAGTTTTCTTTCAAATGATGTTGCTTCTTTATTGTTTTGTTTTTTAGACATCATTTCATAGTTACAACATTGTTGTTATGGTGTATCTCATGTATTATGTCATACTTTTGTGCTAATAGTTAACTCATGTAATAATTATAATTTTTTTTTTTATATTTTTATTTCTATAATTTTTCTACTTTTAATCTTATTTTATTAATAATAAAATTATAGATTCGTATAATTTACGCCCCGTGAGATTCATGGGACTTACGCCCCGCGTTTTGAGACTAACGCCTCGCCCTGTAATAGATAAAACGCCTCACCCAATGCCTCCGCCTTTTAAAACACTGTTTGTAATGATGTTAATATTATACATATTCCGATATTTGAATGTTGATTGACATTATGCTATTTATTTTGTCGTTGTTATTGCAATATGTTGTTACTATAGTGATTCTCGATAGGGAGTTCCTAAAGCCTAGGATAAAGGAGATTTCTTCCGTGAAGGTGTAGTGAAAGCACCGTTCAGTTGAAGTGGCGACTTGGGTGAAAGAGTCTGACTTGCGTACCAGATAGCTCCATCTTTTTAGGCTTCAAGTACTTCCTTTTACTTAATGTTCGGGGACTTACATTGTTTTTTGTAGTTGATAATGTAATGACCTAGTTGGTCATTATTGAAATTTTTTTTGTGAAATAACCATTTTACCCCTCTTAATATTGACACAGAGTCATTTCTGATTAGATTTTTAAATTGGTTCCAAATGTTGAGTAAAAAGTTGTGAAGTGTGGAAAATTTAGAGTTTTGAAAGGTTAAAGTTGTCAAAAAGTGGGTTTTGGTGTCTTTTAAAATTTTGAGTCTTGAAATGGAATTCCTTCAATTCCATTAGTTCCGAAATGTACAAATTGGACTAAGAGAGTTTTTGGTTTCAGATTTGGAATCCTTTTATGGAATTGAGGTCCTAAGTTGGAAATTGTTTAGATTTTAGCCTTTGGGTTGACTTTGATCAATATCCAAGATTCGGATGCTCGAATCAAATTTTCAACAATTCTGTTGAATTCGGGAGATGATTTAAGGCATAGAGGAGGTCTTGGTTGAATTTTTAGAGGTCCTGAATTTTATTTGGCCTTTTCAGGCGTTATGTTAAGTTTCTTGTGACTTACATGGAATTCGGGTCAAGGAGACCCTAGACCCGTGTTTCAATGGTTCCATTGTGTCCAGAACATCGAGTTTAGTCGAGTAGCATATCTGGTTTGTATGTACAGGCTTCTAAACAAATTTTGCGGGTCCATTCGGGGATTTGAAGTTGGTTGTGTTGTTCATACTGGTGTGCTTTTCCTTAGCGAGGAATGGCTCACTTTCGCAAACGTCGCTTCAACGAGAATGTGGTCGTGTTCGTGAGGCGTAAATATCCCCTAACCTCATGTTCTCGAAGATTCCATCACTTTCATTACCTTCGCTTTAGTGAGGCTAACCACTTACATGAGGTTTGCTTTCGTGACCAAGATGTCAGTTCCGTGAGACCTCTGAGGGTTTTGGACTGATATTTTGGGGTTCTTCCCCATTTTCTCTCATTTTGAGTTTCGAAAAGCCCTTGAAGGAGATTTTGAAGAGACTTTTTTGTGGTGAATCTTTTGGGTAAGAGTTTGTAACCCTAAGTCTTCAATTTGCGATTATAAATGTGATTTTAATATAAAATAATTGGGATTTTTGATCGGCAATTTGGCAAGGTTTTCAAAAATTTCAAGATTTAGGAAAATGGTGATTATTAGTTGAATATAAATCCACTTTCAAAATGATTTTCACCAATAGATTCCAAATCCCTTTGGGTAGCTTATTTATGTAACAATTTTCAGATTCAAACGTTATTACCAGAATTGGTGTTTTGAGCGAATTTGACCCATTTATTCAAATTGCTTGATATGGGTGTTGTTAGTTCTGGAATCTCATTGTTAATACTTGTTTGACTAGATTGTGCTGATTTGGATATCATTAGGAAGGGAAAAGCTCAAGTCCCGAGTTGACTTTTGATTGATTGAAGGCAAGTGAACCTCTAAACCTTGCTAAAACTTGTAGAATCTTGTATTCTCTTCATTGTGTGTGTTAGGGAGTAACAAGAATAAGGTGATGGGTTAAATTGCTCTTATTTATTTATCTTAATGATTGAAAGGGGATTAAAGAAAAAGGAAATGTGTTGATAATAGTGTATTATGTATTGTACATTTCCTTGAGTGTTCTTGAATCAGTGAGTGATTAAATACT